GAAACACATTGAGAACTTCGGATGAGTTTCCTATCATGATCTCTAGTTGATACCTGTCCACGGTGTTTGTTGTTTTATCGATCTATATATTTTAGTGAACATTCAGAGATAGACATGACGAATTTATGGCATGTACACCAGAAACCAATATAAACAACAATTTAGACAGATAATCCACAGAGACAAATATTTCAAGCCTTTTCATATGCCTCAACTCATACCACGCGCCAAAACTATCGACAACTAGATAGGAAAGTGAGCGGAGCTGCTACGTCATCTATAGTTGAAAGGAACGTTTAGATAGTCTCAAGACAATGGGAGGGACTGTTTCGAACAAAATTTACAGGTGTTGGTTTTTGTTGAGTTTCGTTGATATTGCGAAAATTACTTGTTTTTATTCATATTCTGAAGATTATATAATGGATTTTTTTTTCATTTTAACACGGGATGCAAAACCAAAATTCATTATCATGTTTGTTTAAATGCATATACAGTGTACTGGAGTTTATGCATAAAACAAGCATACTATCCCCTAAATATATTACTTGCTTTATTCTTATAAAAATCTACAGTATTCTCATCTACAGATAAAATGTTTCTCTCAATATCTTGGAGCGTCGTCTTCTTGTAGACAATGATTAAGCTGGCCTCAATGGATTGCTGGTATAAGTAGAACTGATTTGACATCCTCTTCGTTGTTTACAAGTAATAGAGATAATAAAATATACTCAGGTCTGGTAACACAAGTCCAGATGTAGGGATCTTTTTGGAAGTTTATTCATGTACACAAGAAGAAGCCTACAATTACAATGAATAGACATAATGCCATATACTTATAGTTATTGATGTACATATCAATTGAAATTATAATAGATTGAACTGGAGAGTCAATCTTACCAGGTCTCTGGAGAGAATTCCTCCTCGGTTTGTGCCTAATGAAGTAATAATTATTTGGGCTTATGAGAGCATGTGGTTGGCTGCACATGCCCATACTAGGAATCTCGAGATGAGGTGCTTGATGAAATACCCCTCTCCCACTCAGGTGTGAAGTTAATATACACACATAAATAAACTAGACCAAGTTTAAGTATTGTGTATATACGGCTTACATAATTTCAAAAATGTTTCTTTATCTACTTGAGAACAACCTTAATAAAGAAATCCGAGATATTAAAACAATGTCCTACAAACTTAAACGTATTAAAGGGTTTTTCGGCATTCTATTTACAACCGATCAGAATAGAAGAGTTGCGTGTGTATTCGTTCTGACTCGTTTAACAAGGCTTTCTTATGTTATATGCTGCTTTGTATAATTGTGAAAATATATATGTGTTTGTTTGTTTTGCATATGCATGTGTGTAAGCTAAAACTGTCCTAAAATTCACGCTGTGTTATAGACCAAAGAGTAATGTCTCCATATGTACAAGGTAAGTTGATAGTGATTGAGTAACTGAACGCATGGTTTACAAGGACAAGCTATGTTACTGCATTCCTATTGTCCTCTTTAGTCTCTGACTGTCCCCATTATATTACATTGACTGATAAACTTTAAAGGAAGCTACGTATCATTACCAATTGCTTGGTTTGCTAATCCTTTATCGACACAAGAAGATGCATCTTTGATATTGTGCATGCACTATCAGATAACCTGCTGACATGGTTTGCGATAAATAAGTGACGAAAATACAGGGACGGCACACATTCTTTGATGATGATGATACTAGTCTGGATTTTCGAATACCGTATCAATTCTATTGACATCGTGTAGCGAATCGGTGCATTCGTTAATACTGGTATCAGTTTTAGTCCCGATAAGTAATCAGTAAAGATATTGGTACTGTGTAACGACAACTCAAAAACAAGTATTTCGTGATAATATTGGTAGTATGTCGGTACAACTCAAATAGAAGAAATTCGTGATTAAACTGGTAATATGTTGGGGCAACACAAAAACAAGAAATTCGTGATTAAATTGGTAGTATGTTGGGGCAACTGAAATACATGTAATTCTAGATTAAATTGCTAGTATGCTGGGACAACTCAAATACATACAACTCCAAGAGGTAAGTAATGACATTGATAGTATATATAGCACAACTACTGTAATCAGTAATGATCTTCCTGTCAAGATTGAAGATTTAATGGAGACTTTACAGGAAACATTATAGGTATCCATCGAACTACGTTATATTCGCTTCCTCTATTCTTGATACGAAACCTTCAAATATATTCTGCTTATACTACTTCTTGTGACCTGTAGAAAGAAGCTTGCAGATTTTATAAATTCATTGATGAAGTGACACAAATAAGGCTTTTTGGGCCTATCTGTACGAATGGCCGCCACTCTCCAGCAACTCGCCAATCCATGAAAATATGTTATGTCATTTAAGTGTTATGATACAACTTTAACTTTCGAATGTTTTATTGTATGTGACGAGCCCTAACTGATTTATACAGGTGTCAGATGAGCCAGTGGTTCCCGAATTTACTGGAATTGTGGTATCCGCAAAGAAATAGACATTTAGACCGATTTTAACAACGGACGAGCTTGATCATGCAAATGTGGTGTGGAATGACATAAAATTTTACGATACAATACATACAATTTTAATTCTGCAAAATGTACACATATTTTTACTATTTTGCCACTATATATAAAATACACATATCTAACGCTCATCCATTCATTTTCAGCCACTTCCGGTGAATCGATACTGTCTGGATAGAATGACGCTCACAAGAGGTTTGGTCATTACTTCTAGATCAGAACGTCCCAGTCGAACTTCCTTCAATGAGGCTGGTACCGGATTGCAGACTCATAAAGAATAATTAACTTATCTGGCAGCACGATCAAAGATGTCCGTACATTAGTCACCTAGAACACAGTCAGATATCGGGTATAATGAGACATACATATACATATATGTTCATGAAAATAGGTACAATACTGGGACAATGCTGTCCATAGCACGTGATATCCATAGAAAATAAAGACACTCGTTCACCTAGAACCTACAGGTGTAGCCCACACAGGACCATCAGGATTCCTACATAGATTAGCTTGAACCGAACCGCATCATAAGTAGATTTAGGCCATCTTAGTTCTACCTTCCTAACTGTATTTCGAGCTATAAGGTACGTAAGTTAGACTTACTTATTATCTCAAGATATCATCAAATTTGGGAGATGAGTTTATCTATCTCTACACTCTTGTTTAAAGATATCGAACAATCTAATGTTGATAATGTTTATGATATTTTCAGGTGTAAAGGTGTCTTCATATTGCCATATGTACCCTACACCCAATCTAAAAAGTTCATCTCTCACACCATACAGCCATTCGCTACCGTTTTATAACGTATCGCAAAAATTACAAGGACGAATTTTGAATTACAATACATGTGCAGAAGAATCGCCGCTTTTGAGAGATATTTGGTAACTTAGATGGAAGGTATGACTAGCTTTTTCACTTCTACATTGTCAGGTACGGGAATGTTCTACCTTAAATGACCTGCAAACTAGGTTTTACATACCATGTGCAAAATTTGTTTTAGATAATTAATCTATAACAATAAATTTGTGAGGAATGAAAAATAGTTTTAAACGAGACATTTTGAATGAACTTGTTTCAATATCAGCAATTGTGGTTGTTGTTTAAAACTGCTGATTGAATGCTCACTTATGTGTGATGTCTGTAATTGTTATGTCACTACATGGTTTGCCAGTATGAATTCTTACAATGGCGTGGGATTACAGTTACGCATGAACAAACAGTGATATATATAGCGTAAAAGTTGCATGATCAGGGTATTCATGTTGAAAGCAGGACTCGGGACTTGATAGTCTCTCTGCTCCTTGGCTTGGCGGACGTCTATACCACAAGTACGTTGGGTGAGTAATATTACCGTTGACTTACAGATATAACTGCATTATTAGATACCTCATATGTCTCTGTCTGTTACAGTAACATGTGAACTTTTAAGTAGGCATTGCAGTGTTACTAAATTGCTTGTACAACAAAATTTATGAATGTGTCTTTGGCCAAACAATCTATTAACATAGCAATACTGACTAGTAATACTTTGAAGGAGTCATTAGATAGCGAATTTTACTTTTTAGTATCAACCAGCTGTATAAGTCAGAGAAAGTCACCATAGAATTACATATAGTGTTCAACAACAACATATGCATGGTATCTATACGCGAGGACGGAGACAAACTACCATTGGAAATAGTTCAGGGTCCGCGATACGAACTGTTAAGTGATTATATAAGCCTACACAGAGACAAATTAGAATAGTTAGTAATATTAGTTCACTAACAACTTCGTGGTACTTTTAACGGAAACAATACCTTCTACGTTAAAATGGTTCTTGTAAAGGTCGCAACCTCAAAGTCAATGATATTATCAGTACCCGTAAATAATAAAATGAATTCAAGAAATGGAATCCTTGGTTATAAATATATATATATATATAACTTGCTAACTTAATATGTTAGAAAAAAATCTAGTAAATAATTATATTTTCGTAGGAAAAGAAAACATGGAGTTGGTAATAATACAAAATTTAGCTTAAGAATACCATTATACTTTGTAGTAATGATTTTACCAGGTGTGGTTCCTCATTTACCATTCTCATTAATGATCACATATACCAATGCATTGTTAAACACACTGGCTCTCAACAGGCAATGAACGAGCAAAATAGGGAACATTTTAACATGATTTGGCGTTGTCTATGAAAATAGTTAGTTAAAACGAATATCCTACAGTACTTTTATTAATTCGTTATGTACATACTTATTTGTAAGCTTTCTTCAAAAATAAGATAATATATTTCTTTGATCAGATAATTGTAGTCCAATACTGAAAAGGTCAAATTTCAATACCTTTGAATATACACGACTTCAGTATATATCTGATAACAAGTACAAAATAACTATATATTTACTAACATTCATCGTAGAGTTTTATAGATTTTGTTATTTAAGATAAAATGATGGCATCCCAGCTGTTACTTTGCGTGTGGGTTAGCTTCACGATGATACTCTACACATCATGCCAGTCCTTCCAGACAGTCCACACACCTTCCGGTCCTATCAAGGGACTGGTCGTCCCTACTCTTGGAAAGGATATTGTGCAGTTTAGGAACATTCCGTATGCGAAACCTCCAATTGGTAACCTTAGATTTGAGAAACCACTTCCGATAGAACCGTGGACAGAAATACTTGATGGAACTGTTTTTGGACCCTCTTGTATGCAGGATAAATCTTTCCTGTCAGCTATAGGGGAAAATACAGATCATGCGATGAGTGAAGATTGCCTATATCTAAATGTTTATGTACCGGGAGATGTTTCGACCAATGCCAACAAGGCAGTGATGGTTTGGATCCATGGTGGAGGATTAGTACTCTTCAATGGTTGGGGCTATGATGCCTCATTTTTGACAATGAAAGACATCATCGTAGTTACTATTAACTACCGCCTAGGGATATTTGGATTCCTTAGCACGGGAGACTTAACAATGCCCAGCAATTTTGGACTATGGGATATGATTGAAGCATTGAAGTGGGTTAATAAAAACATAGCTTCATTTGGGGGCGATCCTGATTCTGTGACTATTTTTGGTGAATCGGCCGGAGGCATCGCTGTGTCATTTCTGGGTATAATTCCAAATACTGCTGGTTTATTCAAACGCATGATTGCCCAAAGCGGATCTGCTATAGCATACTATTGTGTTACAAGAGATCCCGTAAAATTTGCCAAATCTATAGGGAAATTAGTTGGATGTGTAGCTGGCAAAGACAGCGATATTGACAATCATGTGCTAAGGGATTGCCTCAAGAGAAAGACAGCCGATGAATTATTACAAGCCCAGTCGAATCCTGGGACTCGGACTCAACATTTTGGAACATTTTCTCTTTTACCAACAATTTGGCCAGTTATTGATGGAGAACTGATTCAAAGGCCACCTTTGGACATTTTGAATGATCCGAACTCGGAAGAATCTATATATTTTAGATCTCTAGATTTGCTTGCAGGTACGACTGATAACGAAGGAGTATTAATGCCGATGTTTTTGGCGGGATTTCAAGAATCTATGAAATTCAATATGACAGAAGGTATACCAACCCCTGTCTTATGTGACGTTGTGGCACCAACATTAGCTAAAGAGATGTTTAATGACAATAGTGTCGCATCAGATTTAATTTGTAAGGAATATTCTTCTGACAGCCTTGAACAACAGTCACGAAATATTGTAAATCTATTTGCGGATTCATGGTTTGTGTTTCCGACGATGCACCTTCTTGAGTTTCATGCGAAGGATAAACTGTCTCCAAACACATATCAATATGTATATACTCAGGCAGTGAACTTTTGGTTTTGGATTCCCACTTATCCATGGATGGAAGGAGCAGGGCATGCGGTCGAGTTGTTGTATATGTTTGGTCCGACAGGGTTTAGTGAAAGGGATCCATCTTTGTCCACGGACGAAGGAAGAGCTTTTACTGATGTTCTCGTCACGTACTGGACCAACTTTGCCAAATCAGGGTAAATAGCGTCTTCGATACGCCAGTGGTTACAATCACACTCGCTCTCTGCACCCTTAAATACTTCATGGCAAAATTAAAGACTACATGTGTGCGACACATTGTGGAAAAGATGTAAAGACTAGTTTGTAATTGTAATTTCCAGAGGGAGCGTATCAGTCTGTGATTGGTTAATTTGTTTCTCATGGAACCAATCAAACTACTGAGCTTGAACCTTCAATTTCATCGTAATATGTTCCAACGGTGAAGAGAGCAAAAGTGATCGTAAACCATGGAGTTCCGATTATGGATAAATAGATTTTATATGTTTCATCATGCAGAGATTCCTGTTTATATAAAATATCTGCATAACAATAACATTAGAAGATATAGTTATACTTCTTTACTTTCATTATCAAATTAAACTACTGACCCGTTTATTGATGCAATGAAGGTAGTGGACATCATGAAACCGTTATTTGTAAATCGTAGCTCTATCATTCACATGATTTTTACCTATCATACTTTATTCTTTATTTTTCGAATCTTATTACTGATGACGGAGTCTTGTATTCTATATAGGAATCCGAATGGAGATGGCCTGGTTCCGTGGAAAGCGTTCAGTCTTAGTAGCCGGGACTATCTAGAGTTGAAGTACCAACCAAGTCCGGGTCAGAACCTGTTCGAGAAAAGGATGAAGTTCTTATCACAGGACATATCAAACAAAATACAGTCCGCTGCCAAGACTGAGCTATAGAAACAATCATTTCTGAAGGTTATGACAATACTTTTCTCAAGTAATAACATACATATGTAGCATAAACAATAAACAATTATCATTGTAAATACACTAATCAAAATAACGTTTTTTTATTTGTAGCTATGTTAATCGTTTCACGATGTTTTTAATTAATTAAATTTGAATTTTGCTCGATGATTTATTCGTCTTGTTGTTGCACTGTAATGATACTTTATTTTCAACTAAGTACAAGTTCAATTTCTTTTGGTATATGTCCAATTCATGAAGCGGAATACTTTAGAATAAACACGGTAATTTTTGAGTGGATGGTAAAAATGACTCACAGAAGAAAAACGTCTTTCAATACATATTAAAGTGTTGGAAGAAGCGATTGGGGAAAAATATTTTTTTCAATAAAAAATATCGGCATATCATCGAGCCTTAATTCAAATACGTTGTATTACGGACACACGAAGATATTTATTTGATTTATTTGTTTATCTCTTCTGTATGGTTTTTATGTGCATTTATCTAGGAATTAATACCCATTCTTAGGTAATGGTTATCATTTTCATGATCTTATCCTAAACAATCTTTTCTGACGCTTGCCAAATGGTGGAGGCCATTTTCCTGGCAGTAGCAGATGACCGTTAACGACCTTCAAGATATTTACAATAACGACATACTAAAATGTGTCATCTAAATGTGAAAGAGAGCATGATAACCTTTGTGACATATTCCGATTAACCTTTTTCTGCATCCAGTGGGTTTGAAGGTAGGTCTAATGTCAGAATGTCGATAAAGACGATAACCATGCAATAAGTGATATTCTTAATGCAGGGATTAATTTCAGTCAATAATAGCACAACGAAATGAATTCATAACACATGGTGTTGTCTCCAACTTTTGCTGCATTATTCCATAGAGAATGATACATCAATTCGAATCTCCATTTGAAAGAAACTTTAATAAATAAAACAAAAATTCCAAGACACAAACACAATATCCTACAAGCATCAATATATTTTCTGCATTCTATTTACAACCGCTCAGAATAGAAGACCCTTCGTGTGTATTCGTTCTGACTCGTTTAACCAGGCTTTATTATGTTACATACTGCTTTGTATAATCGTGTAGATACATTCGTTTTTGTTTGGGTTTTTCTCATATGCATGTCCGCTTAGCTAAAATGATCCTAAACCTCTTGTGTCACAGACCAAAGAATTACTCTCATACCTAGCAGACGTCTCTATCTGTACAAGGTAAGTGATAGTGATTAATTGAACGGATGGTATACAAGGACAAGCTATTCTACTGCATTTCTATTGTCCTTCGTTAATCTCTGACTGTTCCCATTATATTACTTCTACTGATAAACTTTAAAGGATGCTATGAAGCGTTAATAATTGCTACGTTTGCTTATTCATAATCGACACAAGTAGGTCTTTCTTTGATATTGACAGTAAAACGTTTAAATATCAAAAAGAAGAACACTGTCACACAGAACTTCAACACTTGAATACACAATGCATATACATCAAAAACTAAAACTATTTAATATTCGTTTAACATAAAGTACGACAACATCAATAATTACACTAATACGTTGGTAGTAATAACGTGCATCTTTGATGATGATGATGATGATGATGATGATGATGATAGTCTGGATTTTCGAAACCCGCATCAATCCTATTAACATCGTGTAGAGAAACAGCGCATTCATTAATACTGGCACTAGCTTTAGTCGCGATAACACGAGTCGTCAGTAATGATATTTGTAGTGTGTAACGACAATTTAAATAGAAGTAATTCGTAATTAATAGTAAGTATGCTGGTACAACTCAAATACATGTAATTCTAGATTATATTGCTAGTATGCTGGGGCAACTCAAATACTTGTGATTCGTGATTATATTGGTTGTATGCTCGGGCAACTAAAATACACGTGATTCGTGATTATATTGCTAGTATGCTCGGACAACTCAAATACATGTGATTCGTGATTATATTGTTAGTATGCTGGGGCAATTCAAATACATGTGATTCGTGATTATATTGCTAGTATGCTGGGGCAATTCAAATACATACAACTTCAAGAGGTAAGTAATGACATTGATAGTATATATAACACAACTACATGTAATCAGTAATGATCTTCCTGTCAAGATTGAAGATTTAATCGAGACTTTACAGGAAACATTATAGGTATCTATTTAACTACCTTAAATTCGCTTTCTCTGTTATTGATACGAAACCTTCAAATATATTCTGCTTATACTACTTCTTGTGACCCGTGGGAAGAAGCTTGGATATCTCCTCAGCAGTTGATTAATGAAGTTTGTTACCCTGTCTGTACGGATTGCCGTGATTCTCCAGCAACCTCGCCAATGCATGAAAAGTTGAGTTTGAAAAAATTACCAACGTATGAACAAAACTATAATCCAAACTTTTGTCTTAAGGTCAGATGTATCATATATAACAGGAAGTGTTTCTCTGTTTATGTATGTGTTATCGGTTAGAGGCAGTGTTTTCTGTTTACCTGTGTGTTTATTTCATATGTCCACGTTGTCTATATTTACTTGCAACTTGTCTGTCTAGTTGTATACATGGCCGCTTTCTTTTATCCGCTCGTAACGGCATGCAAGTGGCACAGTTTCGTTCCGCATAGAAGAACGGGCTCGAAACGTGTTTTCGTTTCAGTATGGCGACCAATGACACACTTTACCAGACACTTCACTTTGAACATTTGAATATCGGAAGATTTCTACTTTCTGATATATTGTTTTCGGAGATGACATTAATAATGAATTTGAAGCAACATCACTTCACTAAGAGCAACAAAAAGACAATAAATCTAATGCTGATTTTACATATTTTCAACAAATTATAAAAATATTCATTGACAAGCTGCTTTTTATATCAAAAACTCTCCTGCAAAGTCAATACAAGGTAAGTGATTAAACATTATATTTATTATTATTTGATATTTTAAGGAATTTGTTTTTCATTGTATTGTTGAATTATTTGTAAATCAAATGAGTACATGAGTCAATGATCATAAATATTTTGAGTTTGTTTTTATGAACTTGTTATGGTTGTTTTCTTGGGATTTTTTCACAGGAAATACATTGTTATAGAACTTTAAAAATAAAAATGACTCTTTTATTCTCTGTATTTGGAAATTAGAGATATATGATGAAAAAAACTACATTTGAATTCGGATCGCGTCACTCTTAGTAATACATAAGGACATTTATAACTTGGAAGCAGAAAGGACAACAATACAGCGTGAAAGAACACGCCCTAGCTGATTTAAACAGGTGTAGATGATATCACAGTGGTTACCGACAAAACAACTGGGATGGTGGTATCCGAAAAAGAAATAAGAAATTTCGACCGATGTTTAAATTGATTGTTGATGATTATAAACAAGTACATTATATATCTTAATTCTTCCTACCACAATTTTGACGTTTTCGTGAACTTCTTTTGGTGGTCGTCTATTAATTGACGATGTTTAGTCGTTAAAACACTCCTGTCGAATGTCATTACTTGGTGATTTATAATTCACATGGGTAACTAGATATCAAACAATACACAAGTCATTATTTAATTCAAATTCTAAAGTTCTGTTTTAACATTTTTCTTGAGCTTGTTAGGGATCTCCTGTAACAAGTATTTTATCCTCTTTCCGTACAAGTTTTGACCCGGTATCGGCTGGAACTTCAACTCCATATAGTTCCGATTGTCTGGTGTGAACTCTTTCCACTGTACTAAACCATCTCCATTAGGATTCCTGTGCAAATAAAGTCTAAAATGAATATTGTAAACAAGAGAATGGTTAAGATCTGTTTTGATGTTATGCGATGTCCCTCTCTATCATTTAATAATTCAACAGAAAATGAACCTATTGTTAAACTGGTATTAGTATCAAAATGCGCCGCATTTATTCTTTATACCAAGATCAGTTATTTTTTCTCTTATATTTACACCCGGCCGGGGAATATATACATCTTTTGTTCAATCTTTTGACACTGTTTGTTTAACAGCTTATCATTGTATGTTACGTCTAAATGACGAGGAATAGAAATACCGGTTTAGAATATTCACAAAATTTCAAAATTTTCCAAAATATGATTAAAGGGTTAATGTACCTACTTTGCTGCAAGTTATGATCGATATTGATTTTCAAAAACAAACTTCTGGATTTTAAACTTTTATCCCGTTGCAGCAAAAAATATCTCTAGAAGGATGCAGCTAATGTATAACGCAATTTAGTCCTTTTTTTAATAGATTTATTTATTGTATAACCATTCTATTTTCACCCACTTTCATCACTCGCATCCTTCAAGAGACCTCAAGTGACGAAATCGCTGTATGGTGCACTTTTATTACATATATATTTGATTTGTCTTTTTATGTGTTACAATAGAAGAGTCTTACCCTGATTTGGCAAAGTTGGTCCAATAATTAACAAGGACGTCAGTAAATGCCCTTCCTTCATTCGTTGACAAGGATGCGTCCATTTCGTTCATGCCTTTCGGGCCAAACATGTAAACCAGTTCGGTCGAGTGTCCTGCTCCTTCCATCCACGGGTATTCAGGAATCGCATAAGGAAAGGTCAATGTTTGGGTATACAAATATTGATATGTGTTAGCGTTTTTGTTATGCTTTGAGTGGAATTCGAGGAGTTGCACCGTTGGAGCATTAAACCATGCATCTGAATACAGATTTGCAATGTTTCTACCTTGTTGCTTGATGTTGGCAGCCGTATATTCCTTACAAAGTAAATCGGATACGACTGTATCGTCGTTGAACATTTCCTTAGCTAATGTTGGAGCAACAACGTCGCATAAAACAGTTGTAGGAATACCCTCAGTAATGTTAAATCCCATGGGTTCTTGAAGTTCAGACATAATAATAGATAGCAGGGATCCTTCATTGCTGGTCGTGCCTGTCATCATATCTAAAGACCTAAAGTAAGAAGATTCCTCAGAATCCGGGTAATTTAAACTATCGTAAGGTGACCTCCGCAGTAATTCTCCATCGATAATGGGCCAGATCTGAGGTAAAAGAGAAAAAGTGTCTGTATATTGAATTCCTGGATTCTGTTGAATATTTAACAACTCGTCGGCACTTTTGGTTTTGAGGCAAACTATCAGATTTTTGTTACTGATATCTTCATTTTCGTCAGCTATACATCCTAGGGCTTTCCCCGCAGCATTTGCAACGCCTGCGGGATTTGGAGCAATACCCATAAATCCTACAGCAGATCCACTTTGAGGTATGATACGCTTAAATAAACCAGCAGTACTTGGAATCACAGCAAGGTATGACACAGCAAAACCACCTGCCGATTCGCCAAAAATTGTAACAGATTCAGGATCGCCCCCGAATGAAGCTATGTTTTGATTTACCCACTTCAAGGCTTCAATCATATCCCAAAGGCCAAAGTTGCTTGGTAGTGACGTATCTCCCGTACTGAGAAATCCAAATAATCCTAGACGGTAGTTGATGGTTACTACGATAACGTCTTTCATTGCAATGAGTGACCCGTCAGATTCCCAACTATTTCCCAATATAAAACCTCCGCCATGGATCCAAAACATGACTGGTTTCTTCACATCATTTAAAACTGATCCAGGTACGTAAACATTTAACTGTAAACAATCCTCAGTTAATTCCGGATTTTCTGGCATATTTTCCCAAAGCTCCGGATAAAAAGATTTATCTTGTATACAAGAGGGACCAAAAACAGTTCCGTCGAGTGTTTCTGTCCATGGTTCTACCGGAAGTGGTTTCTCAAATCGGAGATTGCCAACTGGAGGTTTTGCGTAGGGAATATTTCTGAACTGCACAATATCCTTTCCAAGGGTAGGGACGACCACTCCCTTGATTGGACCGGAAGGAGTGTTGACTATCGGGAATGTCTGACCTGATGCAAATACAATCACCTCATACTGTAGCAAAACACATAGGAGGATCCGGAAATTCATCTTGTAACCCTGAATCAAATATATTGATATCATTATGACCGAAAGAAGGCGCTATACATATCAATTTATGTGAAGTTTTTTATTGTTATCTAGAAAAAATTATCAAGACAATGAAGATATATGCTTATTATTTGTTCTTCATGATATTATTATGTAGGTAAATACTGTGCATTAAAGCAGATATACTTTTTATATCATCTAAAACTCAAATTCCTGTTACTATGTTCTTATCGACTGTTGTGAATTCATCAATATTTATCAATATTTCATTATTTTATGATAAATGGTATATATGTTTTATATTAGTAATAACATAACTTTTAACGACATAATCGTTTTTTGTAAATTCATTGTAAATGATAGCGGACGTCTTGCGCGCCATATCCATCTCAGTATTGTTACGTCATTATAGCAAGTTGAGTAGTTAAAAAAAATAGTCTAGAAGAACAACCGTGTTATTCTTCATTGGATTACAATAAGTAGACATTTACAAATAAGTTGAAGAGTCGATAATTTTTTTTTTGTAAAATATTACAAAAATAATTTACCCAGTAAAGTCAATCATGTGATCATACTAATATGAAAGCATAGTGATCTAGTGAAACTGTGAAAACATATCTTCTCGGAAAAATCAGTCTGGATTTAATGCCAACAGGGAACGTTAAAGCATGGCAATCTTCAGTGGTAGCTGACCTTATATTTAGTGTTGATATTAAGATAAAAGGTCAGTTTATCAAAATAAATGACGTTGATATCTTCTATACTGTTTGGCCTCTTGGACCGGACAGCTCAGAAACATAATATGTATAAGTGTTCGAAAAGCTCAAATCGTTAAAGACAACTTATTTTCCCTTCATTCTTTCCTCATTTCCTCAAGGACACGACGAGTTCACCAATCACATTTTTTGCACACTCCACGAGCTATTCCTAACAACGGCGAAAAGAAACTAGAGTCGACAGACCTCGAAGGAAGGGGGAAATAGACAGCCCACCACCTGTCTCACTCTACAATGTTTGGAATTTTTCTTCATTGTGTACAGAGATAAAAAGCAAAATAATAACCAGAAACGGAAGGAGGACAGGACATAAATCTAGAAAACAGTTAAGCAAGTGCACCCATCTTGTCCAAAATCCTGGATATGTACCCGAAGACGTACAATGTATTTGATGCATTCCAGGGAGTTGGAAAGAAAACAAGGCTCCTATAGTGCCTTACGCTCGTGATCACCTGACCGTTAGATCGGGTATTAACTGCATAAGTAGAAAGATACAAAGTGTGAGAAATGAATCATTACTTTCCTGGCTACATCCTCCCTTATGATCTTGGTTCTAGTCTTGACTGTGGTTATTGCAAGAGCGTTAAACCCTTACAACTATATGTCATTGAATATTTCAAAACAAATTGAATTCCACATATGATTATACTGCAGGTATTTCTTCACGTCAATAGATAGATCACCAAAGTCCATATGTCATATTGGTCATACATTTTGGTTAGTGTTCCCATAAAAAAGTTATTAACAACAGGAGAAAAGGTGACAAAATGAGACAATCGATCTGATATAACTAAGGATGGGGTAGAAGAATATGGGAATGCAGCAGGAGAGGTTTACGACAAAGAATGTAATATAGGAAAGGAAGGTAACTGTGAAAGAAAAAAGGTAAAATATTTATATAAATATATAGGTCGCCAAAGGTCAAATAAATTATTAATATCAATCAATATTGCATGCAAACTTATGTCAAAGGTCAATATATAGGTAACCACAGGTCAAGTAAGTATTCAATATCAATCTATAATGTATGCTCTTTCCTTTACACATATTATTACAACGTAAAGTTATATCAAAGGTCAATTTATAGGTCATCAAAAGTCAAAAGTGATCAATATCAATCAATATTTGATACTTTTGCATCGTACAATGTAAAGTCAAAAGACACCCACCTTCTCCCCCTCCCCCTCCCCCTCCCCCACCCTTAATCCTGCCCAACCCACACCCTTACCGGTCAATCGTGGAAGCAATATTGATTTCGCAATATTGTCGATCTGAAAAGGGTCCATTTTCATTGATCACTTTTTAACGGACCCTTCTAGTCGGTTCCATTTTATACCAGGGGTCAATTTTAAACGTTACATCGGCTAACCACTTTACTGTACACACACACACACTGTTAACCACATGGAACAAATCAGGATACATGTTTAAATAGCACCATGTGACTAAAAATAGCTTCGAATCACTACATGGTACATAGAAGAGTAATCCCACGCTTGTTAAAAAGAACTACTTATATAACATGGGTTACAAAGTACAAGATCCATTCATAATAATAACTTGCATTAAAAACTCATGACAAATGGTCAAAAACATGTCATTTCAACTCTAAATCCGACTTTCTAGGAGCATATTCACATATGTGTATAATTCAAATAATAAATAAGCACGAAAAATCGCAAGATCTACAACACATTACATTAAACGTGTCATACAAAAGAAAGTGTATGTGTCCGAATCCCTTGCTTAATCTTATCTCTGACATTTCCCTCACCCAGCACCAACATACCTGTATCGAGAGTAGAGCTAATGTGATATGCAGAGGGTAAGTGTGTCGGTTGGAACGTTGTACTCACGTGTGTGTGCTTTGTACAACCTGGACCTTTTATAAGATACTAAGGCTTATATAAATACCCTACTTGAAAGAAAACCGGTCATTCTTGTTTGATACGGTCAACGTTAAATGGTCTTGTATATTGCTCGGATAGGAAAAAAAGAAAGAGACATCGTTGATATGTTCTTCATATAGCCGGAGAATATATTGCTTTCTATCAGTACATTTTTTCATTTACATGACCAATTATTTCAGACTTGTGCAACTATTACCTGACTCTTGTGATTATTTCATAATAACCTTAACAGAATGAGGGAAAATCACTTCTAATTAGTCATACACATCCTCACGGATTGTGAACACAGTATCAATATAAACAACCCAAACATATTGTCTCTCGTAGATAACATCTAACTACTTAATATTTATGTACGTTAAAGCCGATTACTTTTACTGATTTACTGATACATCAACCACCTGCTACTAGAGTATTCACCGTGTATTATATATTGATCAATGAGTAACGGAAGATATGGTGTGCCACTGGTCCCTAGCAGGTCGAGGTAAAGAGAAATTTCCTCCATCGCAAAGCTAGAAGAGAACCGTACCCCTGCACAGTTAAAACATATCACACAATGCTTCTGTGTTTCCGTGTACTTCAATTCACTTCACTTCACTTATTTATTACCTGGAGCATTGCAGTTCAGCACTTCAGAATGACATACAACATATACAGGTATGAACAACAAATTTTCTCGTCCACGACACATCATCAATTAGTGTAGAGGGAATTGAACATATTACCCACGTACCATTTAATTATTTCTTTTGTATTTACCCATTATGATAAATTTGGAAAAAAATTTAATTAACTGAGTCTATAACAAGAATATTTCTACTTAAACGTTTCCATAAATCCGCATGTTTTTAACATTTAACCATAAAATGAAATTCATCTTCTATGTCACTACTGTTACATAAAGTGCATATTCTGTTATTCCATTCTCTATTATTATACCTCCCAATTTTAACATTCAGTTTGTTAGATGTCCTCACTGATATACTTGTACTGGAAACATTGGAAGATGCGTTTATCTTATCACTACACTCTTGTTTAAAGATATCGAACAATCTAGTTTTAATAATATGTTTATAATATAATGAAGTTAAATGGTATCTTCATATTGTCATATGTACCCCACACTCAATACAAAAAGTACTCTGGCTCAAAGATGCTCTACCTTAAACAACCTACAAATAAGGCTTTACATACAATATGCAAAACATGTTTGAAATGATTAATCAATAACAATAAATATGCGAAGAATAAAAATGGATTTTAAACGAGACATTTGGAATGAACTTGTTGTAGTGTCAGTCAATTCCAGATTGAATTTTTCAGTCATGGGATGTCTAGGGCTGTTGTGTCCATGTCGCTATATGGGTTACCACTATGAATATTTACAATGGCATGAGATTACAGTTACACATGTGCAAACAGTGATATTTACATAGCGTAAAATTTGCATTATCAAGGTATTCAAGTTGAAATCTGGTACAATTTTTCACCCCTACCTTCGGGATTCATTTTAACATACATTATTTATAGCAAAGGTAGCACCCATTAGACCTTTTTCTACATTTCTGTTGACCCATAAATCTATTGAATTAGATAAAATTTAGTTTTATTAGGCAACGACTGAAAGATGTATTTTGCAACGAAAAGGAAAACTTACAAATGAAAGTTTTAGTTAATTAAATACATCAGACAAGATATTGAGAATTCATCAGATGTGTATGTTTTTCAAAGTGTGTTAGCATTTTTAACAGAGTGAATAAGACAGCGACTTATATACAAATATAGAATTACATAAGTAAACATTGAATTAACAAGCATCATACAGTTTTTTTCCTCCATCTAGGACTCGTCAGTGGGCCTGAATTTTGAAACCTAGGAAGTCAATGAGAAAAGTCCAAAGCCATCGGAACAGTAGTCCTATTATTAATAAATTTCGTATTTTTCCTATTTCTGATAATTTTCAGAATAACGTCAAGTACAAGTGTTTATTCTTAACTATTTATTGTATATAACACTAAATTTGCATGGACGGCTTCACAGCTCTGATCCGCAAAAACTAAAATGTGTAATTTTACCTATCATGTACAAGAAAAAAGTATTTAAAATGAGAAGTTCTCCATATTGAAAGACACTACTATAATGCTAGCTTGATAACAATAGTTTTCTTGAACGGTTTCAGAGTTCTGATCTGAACAGCAACCTACCCCTTGTCAAGGGGCTGCGATGGTCGAGTGGTGAAGTCGTCCATGTACATCATGTGCCACAGGTCTGGGTTTTTTCTCCGGTAACTACGGCTTTCTTCCACCACTTAAACCTGGCACGTCGCTTTCGTAAAAAATAGTACTTGAAAACTTCTAACTATGCATATCACAAAAATCCAGATCTAATGCTGAGTAGTAGGTCAAAATATCCAATCTTCTTAACGTTTTCAAACAACTGATCAAATATCCAATTAACCTCAACAGAAATAAAGACGTATTATTGAAGATTTACATGGAGCCCTGTCAAATGATAACGGTTGATAACACCTCAAAATTTCATTTGATTTCCTTAAAGCCGTACTAGTATCAGTACTGAAGCCTTGAGCCATCTAGTTCCACGAGAACGGCAACGAAGAAGGACAATGAATGGCTACAGTTCAGTTTTGACATTATTCTTGATTTTGTTCGGTATTTCCTCCAAAAGAAACTTCATCCTCTTCTCGTACAAGTTCCGACCTGGCACTGGTTCATATTTTAACTCCATATAGTCCCGACCTTCGGAACTGAATGGTTTCCACGGGACCAAACCATCTCCATTAGGGTCCCTACGTTAGATAAAAACTTCATTTAATATATATCGTATAAAAAAAGATAACAAAACATGCGACTGAACAATTGAAGTCTTTACCGAACAGACTGCTGACAGAGAGAAACCAGCATTAAGGATGTTTACAGTGGAATTAGTCATTAGTTATTTACTGGATTTTCCATAGGACACAAAACAGAATATGAAAATTCAACACATAGCTATCATTTGATTGTAGTTTTATGCTAAAAATGTAGAAAAGTTTTAGAAACGTCCTACCTTAAAAAAGATTAATTAGAATAAAGCTATGATCAAGACATTTCAGTATGTGATACTGACTTGCAGATGACTTGTAATCTTAAGTCAAAATCTGAATTAGGTGAGGTATCTTTTTATGTAAATAATATATAGTTAATGTATCTATGATATTTTTTAGAAACATGAAAATTAAAAAATTGAAAACGCTAATGCTTCATTCGAAATGTGGTTTGTAGTTATTTTGATATCAAGTATTTCACCAGACACTGTTAATTGAACCTTTATATTTTAATATATATGATATTCTAGATACATTATCTATGACGTTATAACAAGGGTGATTATGCGATCTTTTGTGCGTGCGTGACGCAAGTGCGTAAATGTGTGTGTGTGTGTGTGTGTGTGTGTGTGTGTGTGTGTGTGTGTGTGTGTGTGTGTGTGTGTGTGTGTGTGTGTGTGTGTGTGTGTGTGTGTGTGTGTGTGTGTGTGTGTGAGTGTGTGTGTGCGTGCATTCGTTCATTTCATATCCATACCCTGTTTTTGCGAAGTTAGTCCAATATCGAGCAAGGACGTCCGAAAAAGCTCTGCCTTCAACAGTAGATAACGATTCATCCAGTTCGTTCAGACCTGACGGTCCGAACTGGTAAAGCAGCTCGGTCGCATGCCCTGCCCCTTTCATCCACGGAAAATGTGGTGCCATGTAATGGAAATTGATTGGCTGATTATATAAGTATTGGTAGGTTCTAGGTGAAGCTTTGCCGTTAGCATGAAAACCTAGAAGTTGAACTGTGGGAGAAACAAACCATGTGTCCGCGTGCAAAATTGAAATGCTTCTTGCTTGTTCTGCCATATCATCAGAAGAATATTCTTTACAAAGTAAATCTGAAACTATGGAATTATTGCTAAACATTTCCCTTGCTAATGTTGGTGCAAAAACGTCACACAACACAGCCGTTGGCATACCTTCAGTCATGCTAAAATTCATCGGTTTTTGAAGCCATCCTAAAAACATTGCAATTACCGAGGCTTCGTTGCTAGTTGTACCAGCGATCATATCCAATGATCTGAAGTAAACTGATTCCTTTGAGGTTGGGTCATTCAAACTTTCTAAGGGGGATCTTGGAAGAAGCTCCCCATCAATGGTTGGCCAAAGTAAGGGTGATACAGAGAAATAACCGAAAAATTGCGTGCCTGGGTCCCTTTGAGCATTCATTAATTCTTCAGCCGATTTGAGCTTGAGACAGTCTGCAAGATCATTGGTGTTGACATCTCCATCTGTGTCTGGTAGACATCCAACAAATTTCCCTGTAGCTTTCGCAGCTCTGACAGGATTTGGTGCAATGCCCATAAATCCTACAGCAGACCCACTCTGAACTATGAAACGTTGAAAAAGGCCTGCAGTGCTTGGAATCACAGACAGGTACGATGCTGCGAAACCACCGGCCGATTCGCCAAAAATGGTTACCGATTCAGGATCACCCCCAAATGATGCTATGTTCTTATTTATCCACTTTAGGGCTTCGATCATATCCCAAAGTCCATAGTTACCAGGCATAGCGGAGTCCTCAGTGCTTAAGAACCCAAATATTCCGATGCGATAGTTGATGGTTACTACTACAACGTCCTTCATAGCCAGGAACGACCCGTCATATGTAAATGTACTTCCCATCATAAAAGCACCACCATAAATCCAAACCATTACCGGTTTTTTCACTGTAGTTGTCACCTCACCTGGAACATAGATATTCAGCTGCAAGCAATCCTCGTTCACTTCTGCATTTTCTGCTTTTTCCCATAGTTCTGCAAATAGGGATTTATCTTGCATACAAGAAGGTCCAAACACAGTTCCATCAAGGATGTCCGACCAGGGGTCTACTGGAACAGGTTTCTCAAATCTTAGGTTGCCAACTGGAGGTTTAGCGAACGGAATATTACGAAACTGCACAATATCCGTACCTTGAGCAGGGACGACAACACCCTTGATGGGACCGGATGGAGTGTTGACTATAGGGAAAGTCTGACATGATGTAAATGTAATGAAGATGGAGAACAGGATCGAACGATAGAAGAGGATGTGGTTCATCTTGATCCCTGTAATTAAAAACAAATTATTTATGCGTCTGATACTTTTTCAGTCAAGGTTAATCAAACGGGCAAAATCCTTTCTTCGAGTTCTTTTCTAGGTTAATGACATATTAAAACTGCATCATTGAAAATTAATTAATTCTTGTCTCGAAGGCATCTTGATACCCTATAAATGGTAATTGAAATCACTTCTTTTAGCGTGATTTACATACCGTTGAGGATGTCTTTACCGGTAATAAGTAGTAAAATATAAATATTACTGGGGTCCTGTGACACATGATACAGCATTTTATTAAAAAACAAACATTTTTAAAAATTAAACGATTTTTGTTACACGAGTTATGTATTTATAGGGAAAAAGTATTTTGAAAGAAAAAAAAAGATTTTTCTCAAGTATAATTTATAAGTATATACAAATCTCTAATCTGAGCTTCGATGTCTGGAATCGTTACCCGTCACTTCGTCACAGCACACCATTTCCATATGAATTATGCCTTCGTTTGCTATTACCTAATCGTGTCATAGATGAACGTCTTATGCATATCATTTTTAGGGTTATATAACATATCTTAGTTCTATGAACTGAAAATCATTGTTGGGTTCTCCAATGTCCCATCAACAGATATCGGAAGAATCAACCCCGACTTCATAGATTGTACTACAATAAGTCACCTTATGAAATAGAGCAGACATGTGATAGTCTTTCTCTGAGGACCGATAAAAACAGCAAAAAAAAAACAAACAAGCCTATTAATATAGTTGTTATCTTATTAAGATTAAAGGACAGGTCTTGTTATCACACATTTTCTATTAAATATTGCATGCAATATTAGAATGCTTTCAATCTGGCAAATACCCGCAACAACAGTTTGAGTAGGAGTGTCAGAAAATTCACGACCACATCCGTAGCAAAATCACTTGACTCCTGGCTTCCATGATTAGAACTGAGAATGTAGGTACACATGTATATGTAAATACCCTTATATGTTCTGCGAAATTGAAAACAATTACACAAATAGGAAACTTATTACCAGAATGACCTGTTGTGTTGACATTTCAACGGAACTTTCATATTTATCACTTTTTATCCCTGATATGCCCGTGTGATACATGTACTGTTTCCCTTTGTCAAAAAGTGCACGGTCTGATATGTAGTTATTACCTACCCGAGCTGCTTGTGAGAAATGACACTGTTATTATGCAATAAAATTAATAAAATCGAAATTGGACCTAAAATGATTCAAAGAAAGACGGGTATGTGTGTTCCATAAGTCGATTGATTACGTTTTTTCCCCAATTTTCGATAATTTTAAAAGACCGTAAGCCGTGCATTGTTTTACAATCTACCCTACCCTGTTTGAATATAGACTCGTCTGTAATCAATATTATCGACAAATTTACAAAATACCTCATTCTGATCAGAATTTTATCAGATATCTTAAACTCTGTTTGTTCTGGGTGTGAACAGACAGGTTTATCAAGATCAAACAAGGCATATACATATGTACATTGTATCCAACGTTTCGACGTAACATGTCCTATATCTTCGGTGCAATCTACCTATTTTGGACCTTCAATAGGTCTAAATAGCCAATGGGGCGTATTTTACAGTGAATATATAACATGTTTAAAACGAAAATGTGTGCATGGACACTTGTCTTAGTATTTTTCTATTTATCATATGCGTAACTACCAGAACCCGGGGACTGGACTGTTACAATCCACTCTCCAGTTACCCCTGCGACTAACTGCAATGTCAGTTATATCCTAGCGACAGCGGTCACAGTTAATACGATTAGTCAGGTCTTTCATAACATTTATGAAGTTTCATGTATACTCAGAGATGTGACAGTATTTGATTAGTCAACTATTATTATCGATTTACGTAGCTGAGCCGCTTCGACAGTCGCAATTTCCGGTGACATTAATGATTGACCTCAGTAATCTACCAACGAAAGTCAATCTGTTAAAATGTTGGCAGTAATGTAGATAATATCTCCGTTATAATTTATTGTCGTTATATATGTTCCGTACCGTGTACGACCATATATTATTCTTCTCACCAGTGTATGTGTGATGATAAAGAACACTTACCAGCTGAAAGTAGGTCACTGGTGTGGTAATCTGTGTACACTGTCTCAAGTTAAATCCACAACTGGGTACCGAGTACCGGATTGTATGGCTTTTGACGAGTCATTGGTCGTTGGCATGCTATCAGGAATTACCTCAAGTCCAGTTATTGAGTACTCACTGCATACGATTTAAAATAAATAAAGTTACGGATATGTGTTTACATCATTGATCAGCTGTCTTAGAGAGGTTAAGTGCAGTGGATAGCTGTACATATAAAAATGTTATAAATAAAACTTTGTAAAATGACCTATTGTTTCACACTATACGCATGACGGAGCGAAATAAATTAATTTTAATTAATCTGAATCTAAAATTGAATGACATTGTTTACTCTCTCCGAACGATAATGATATGAATTAGTGTTTGGTCGCTCCTATTTTATTTCAGTTTTTTAACGTTGTTAATAAAATTGTTGTGCAGATTTTAAAATTTCATAATTAACAGAAAATACACAATTTTAACAGTTATGAAAAGAATATCTAACCATTTAGTTCATTTAACAACAAAGTTTGAAGGCGATGTGACGTCTCTTTATCTATAGTATTATGTATTTCTGCACATAATTACTCTTACACTAGTTTTATAAACAGTGCGTGCTCTTTCAGTTTGTTGTTGCAGTATAGGTGATTGCATAATAATTTACATACATGTACCTACATGCATGTAACAATAAATCAAAACAGAGAGGATATCCCTGAATTTCTTGTATTATAGGACACACCCAGAGACCGAATTATAATATAGATTTTTCCACTAAAATACAGAAAGTATCAAATGTAATGTAAAAGATAAAAGCATTTACCTAGGACTCTAAACATTTACTTTTATTTCTGAATGACTTTGCAGATTGGCCATCTGTAGGTTCTATTATCACAAGCCTTGTGACATAAACAATCGCAGATTATATGTCTGTCAGTTATATATGGAGGAAGTACAATTACTTACTACAGCAATATATATAAACAACGTGCTGTAATATAGAAAATACATCTTACAGTTTGCTTTGTAGTTATTGGTCTTTGGATTACACCCCATACCCACCCCTCTTACTTAAGGTGCATTATCTTAGTAGTAAGCACATAAACTCTGGATATTTTTTTAGTTCATCACAACATCACAGTACCACAGTATACTATACCTGACTAGATTGGATGGTCATCGATCGAAGTCAAATGTCATCCTTGATCACTTTTAAAATGTGTAAAAATATATCCATGAACCTCTCAACGAACTTAATTCATGCTCATATCATTAAATTACACCATTAAGTTCTGGGGGGTCCATGAATTCGGGTTAGAGGCGCGCAATATATTCAAAACTGCAAAATCAGATTTAAGGAGCACCCTCAACCTCCCAAGAGCCGAGAGCGAGAGAAGGGATCTCAACTTTACTTTCCTCTGACGATCATGCAATGCAAGTACAAGCCTGCGAACAATGAACAAATTATTCGAAAAAAATATATGTTCATACACATCAACAAAGAATGAAGATGTCTTAAAGAATTTATTTTAATTGCGAGTAGTGCTGTTCGGAAAAAACTGTTTGAAAGATTAATCTGTGCTATTATAAAACATGTATTCGACAGGATTTCGTGACTACGCAACACGCGTTAACAGCGAAAAGGTAGACCGACCGCCAGAAACGATTTGTCACTACGGTCACAGAGTTCTGGTGGTTTTAAAGTTACAATGGTAAAAAGAATGTTCCGTTGTGTCATATTTTTTTCTGTTCCCGTCTAGACAAATAGGAATATCAAGTTCTAATGCATATGCTAATCTTGTAGACACAATGTTCTTTTAATCAAGAACGAATCGAAAAAATCGGGCAGCGTGTTGAAAAGTCACGTGTTCATATCCGTACTTTCTTGGCGACAACCATTAATTAGATATTTCTTTCAGATATTGGTATAAGTGATTTTGGCTTATGGAATAAGTAAATCTAAAAAGTATTATATTTTTGCTAGGGCCATATTTAAATTCATCAATTTGCTAAATAGAGTAATTTTATTAAGTAGTGTAAGGAACATTGTTATCAAGATGCCTGGTCGAATATCTGCAAGCCAGCGAAAGATATGTTAACATTTTATTCAGTTTTTAAACGATTCGTCAATACTTCGAGTACCACCATTTTGTTATGCATTTTTTTATTCTGCGCTGTAGGGTTGATAAACTCAGTTTTACTTCCAACATATTGAAATGCTTAAAAATCCTTTTTTTTTAAATCATACCAAAAAATGTCACCTATAGACTTCATTCCTTCGATGTCGTGTTTTATTTATCGGTTGAGAGTGGTTTCAAGGCTGTTTATTCTCGAACCGGTCAAGGTCAGGCGCGAGTATGAGGTGATCACTGTTTGATTTAGTGGGAGATTAATATGAGAACCTAACCTACTTAACCTTAAGGTTTACTGATCGTCACAGAACAGAACGGAACTTCTTCGTATACTCTGTAAGGATATCAGTGAATATGCTGACACAGAAATGACTAACGTCACGCTGCATTACTACTCCTAGCATGGTTAGGCAGTTATACATACTCCAATATATGTATGGAATTTGACACTTGCATCAATGGAATAGTTATGTGAAACAATTGTATAAGAAATACGAAATAAGAAATTATCAAAAAAAGATGTTTCTACTGGCATTATGAAAGATTAAAACCATTACCCATTTCAATTGTAAAACAGACTTTAAGATAACACAAAATTAAACTTAAACGAATAATCCACAGACGATCGATTTTTTTTTTTTTTTTTTTTTCATGTAGAAGTTTTTCTCAATTTCACATCCATTTAGGTTTACTCGGCTCAAGTAAAGACATGTCAGAACCTTAAATCAATATAAGCTGTCAATGCTTCACTTTAACACTATGAAAGAGGTAAATATCGAGAAACAAGTGTTTATCGGCAATCTAGATTATGACCCGATAAATGTATACACACCAGTAACACAAATTGTTTTCCCTATACTTCACGTATTCAATGCTGCGATACCTTATATAAAAAGAGCAACAAAAATTACCAATATTTCAACAATCCGCAGTTTTTCAATGAATACTTCGAGTATAATAGTTTGGTTAAATATTGTTAATGTGAAAGATATCAGATCTGCAGGGTTGACAAATCCCGTTTTACTTACAATTAAGTTTACCCGGGGCTAGTAAGGACATGTCAGAGCCTTAAATCAATATAGACTGTCAATGACTCACTTTCTTACTGTGGCAAATGCAAACCTCGAGAGACAAGTGTTCAACAGCGATCTTGATTTTGACCCCATAAATTTATGCATACTTGTATTACAAAATTCTTTCATCCTATACAACAGGTATTCAATGCCGCGATACCTTATATGAAAAGAGCAACAGGAAAATACCAACATGTCAACATATTCATATTACAAACACTCAAAGCACAAGGAGAATCAGAACATGTGTTCCAGAAGAGTTAGTTTCATCGACGACGCACGCTATGTAAATCATGGTTAATCCAAGAAAGTAGAGTCACGTTCTCAAATAAGAACAATGTATACAACAACGGAACCAACATGAAAAACCTAATGAGCATCACACACGTCCATATTTATGTCACACAAAGAAATAGAATATTTTTTCAATGAAATCACTATGATGACCTTAAAACTTCGCCATAATTGTCAGCAAGCAGCATATTTTGAAACCCTGTGTTACGGGTCCATCAGCTGACGATAATAGTAATAGGTCCTGGAATATCGAATCAACTGCGACATGCAATCACCAGAGGATGGAGATGCAAGGATGATGCTATCAATTAATATTGAAATCAATACGCTAATCATTCAGCTTGGCAGAAAGATGTCCATGTTGGTTTCATTGTAAATCAAGATCGAGATAAGTGACCGAAGTGGCTTTCCAAATCTGGTAGGCACATATGGTGGAAGTAAAAAATAAATATAATAAAATAAAATATATCTAGAAGTGAAATGAAAAGACTTTGCAAGGCCTTTATGCCATTTTAATTAGCTCTTCGATAAATTCAGCCTCTTATGAAAGAAAAAAAGATCAACCACAGAGGGGCACAGTTAGTTCCCAATGTGTGCCAATTGTCTGTTGGAATATCTTACCACAAAACTCGACGAAAATGTTGCCGACGTGAAACTCGATCAGTATTATGATTTCGTCACCCATTTATTTCTTCTTTGAGTTGGACATATTTTTCATGAAATACGCTTTAGTATAGTTCATAACCATATATTTGTACCGCCATTCATCTTTCTTGAGGAATAAAGATCTAATAACGAGAAAACGTATGACAAGAACCAGCAATATATAGTTGTTTTATATGGTTTCTTGTCACGTAGATACTGAAGCATGATAAGCAAGTTTTTCTTCGTTACTCAATGTATAGGTGCGGTTTCCTTCTTTAACAAGCAAATCTAATCATTTTTGTGTACAGGAAATGTATTTAATGTCTGCAGACAAGGATCCAAATATTGCGCGCGTTGTCTGCAGGCACTATGACATAGCTGACATGTAGATCTTGAAATGTACATTTTCTATCTGTAAATTCCTCTAAGAGAAAAGGACAGAATAAAAGTGAACTCAATGAAGCATATTTTCGATTCTTCCCTTCTCTTTCATGTGTTTTAATGGACTCCCTTATTAACTTGAAATTCCAATTCCAATTAACGGACGGGGTTTCACGGTATGTAGGACACTTCATGAAAAATTCAAGTCACCAGTAACTATGTGCCCAGTTGGACTGTAGTTATAAGTAGAGATAGAACAAGAAAAAATGTGACGGTAAAGTTCTCCTTAGGTCTTGTACATTCAGTTATTGCAGGGTGTGGTTATAGCTGAACAGTTTGAATGCAATGGGCTTGAAGTTAATGTGGGAAATTACAGGGATATTTCTGCCTTGGGAGTATTATGAAATGTTAGCTTCAACAGACCCCTTGTGCAAAATATTGCTGATGTTTATCTAATTAAAATGCGATGGAGGAATTCCACTTCTAATATCTGGTTCACAGATTCATATAACAAGTTTGAAATATTGGAAAGTGGGGAAAAACTGTAAAATCAAAGCTTTGTTTAGGTTTGTTAGACAAAGCTAATGTTAAAATAAAAATGGTGAGCGTGTAAGCGAAATTTAGCGGTAAAATGAATCGTTATTCAGCGTGTCACACTCCAAGGTCAAATCACATTCATTGTCTATGTATATACTATTTCAAAACGTCACTTTCCATATTATGTTATGCTGTGCCTGTCATATGAGTTACATAATTTACAGATATTCGGACATTTTATGACCACATTACAACAATTTATGGAGGAGCATAAGGACCACGCAGAGAAAAAAACAATTTCGTTTTTTAGTGTTAACAACTTGAAACTTGAAAACAGGCTCGAAACTCAGCTTACACTATCTGGCCCCAGTTTCACGAATCTTCCTCAAAGAAATCTTAACTACTATAAAAGAGCATTACATAAGTTTAGGCAAAGCTTAAGTCTAAGACAAATTCCTTAACTTGCGTAATGTTTTCTATGGCCAATCGTAAGTTAAGGAAAATCCCTTAAGTTACGGAAGATCCATGAGAGTGGGGCCAGGTTACATTGTCGTGACAGTAGAATGATTGCTGATGAAACGACATACATGTATTTACAACATTGCCTCTATTTTTCGTATTTTAGGGTTAATAAAATGTTCGCAAGTTACACAAAATATCAAGATTATCATGTTTATATACGGTTCTATAATACATTATGCCTTAAGTCAATTGTCTGTTTAAAGGCTTATTTTCCTGTGAAACTACACAGTTACAGAGTTAAAATATTTTCATCATGATATCAAAAGAAGATCACAGTATTTTTATATTAGTATTTCATGCTTTAATTTCTCCGCTACAGTAAATGATAGAGCGTTCTGTTATAAAACAAATATATTTCGACAGTCTACAAAGAAAGTTTACTGGTGTATGAAATGGCACTGTTAATATGAAAACGAACTACCATAATGATAAACATGCCTCCCCACAACACATAAATCATAAATAACATGATCTTTATTTTCAATACTTGGTTATTAAAGATTCACATGGTTTAACTTGATTTCTCTACTAACTACGAGACCCCAAGCTCAGTTATAACACTTACTAGGATTTCACACGATATAGCTTGAGTTCACTTCTCACTACAAGATATAAAGTTCAGTTGCAACATTTTCTAGGAATTCACACATAATAACATGATTTCACCTCATACAAAAACAACCTAAAGTTCAGTCTTAACACTCTTGCTAAGCTTATTCGGGATATCCTCAAGCAGCAATTTCATGCGCTTTGCAAAAACGTTTTGTTCCATGACAGGTTCTATATTCAAATTCATGTAGTTATGTTCGTTTGGACCAAAGGTCTTCCAGTGAACGAGGCCCTCGCCATTAGGATTTCTGAAAACAGGCAATGTATATGTTTAGTCCAAGCTGACGTATGAACTGTGGCAGTACAAGAAATTAAGAAATTATAATTAGGAAAAAGCAAAGCATCAGTGTTATGTGCCAGTAGTTGAGTTCACTTCAATATCTTGCAACAGGTCAAAGATCAATAACTATATATTGTATTTGGTAATTTATGTGTGAAATGTTTAAATATGATATTTATGTAAAAAGTCTAGATATACTAAAAAAGACCTTAAAACCTACCCATTTTTAGCAAAGTTGGTCCAGTAGTTCACAAGAATTTCTGTCAGCGCTCGTCCCTCTGTACTGGATAATGATTCGTCGAACTGATTCAATGTTCCCGGACCAAAAAGGAACAATAGTTCAACTCCGTGTCCAGCCCCTCTAGACCATGGAAAACTGGGAATTATAAAGGGAAATGTAATATCCTTTGTAAACAAGTATTGGTATGTATTCGAACTAGTCTTTCCTCTTGAATGGAAATCCAGTAATTGTTTAGTTGGAGCCACAAAAGCAGTGTCAGCAAACAAATTTGATATGCTTCTGGATTGCTCTTTGATGTTTTCTTCACTATACGCTTTACATAGCATTTCCGGTACAATGGTTTCATCGCTGTATGCTTGTCTGGCAAACGCAGGGGCTAAATCCTCACACAATACAACAGTTGGAATACCTTCTGATAAATTGAAGTTCCTGGACTCCTGCAGCTGCATGATAAGGAATGGCAAAATTGAACCTTCATTGTCCGTCGTTCCTGACATCACATCAAGAGATCGAAAGAAAACAGATTCTTTAGATGTCAAATCCTCCAAGCTTTTGTAAGGACTTCTAACGAGCAATTCTCCGTCAACAAGTGGCCACAACAGCGGAGCCACTTTTAAAACTCCAAAGTCCGTTGTACTAGGGTCACTCTGGGCTTTAAATAAATCTTCAGCAGATTTTTCCTTCAGACAACCTACAAGAGCTTTCTTGTCAACAGTCGAGTCGTTTTCAGTGATACATCCAACATAGCTACCAACTCTCTTGGTAAGTCTGAATGGATCATGTACATCCCAAAACTCACTAACTGAAGCTCCACTCTGGCTAATTACGCGTTTAAATAGTCCTTCATTGCTTGGAATAACTGATAAATAGGAAACAGCGAAGCCTCCTGCCGATTCTCCGAAAATGGTAACCGATTCAGGGTCGCCTCCGAATGATGCTATGTTTTTATTTACCCATTTCAGTGCTTCTATCATATCCCATAGTCCATAGTTACCTGGTAGGGCGGCATCTCCTGTGCTTAGAAATCCGAAAACTCCGAGACGGTAGTTAATACTGACCACAATGACATCTTTGAGTACTAAAAACGACGGATCCAGGAACCAGCTATTTCCTATCTGAAAACCTCCGCCGTGAATCCAAAACATGACGGACTTTTTCTCTGATGTTGAAACCGCCCCTGGCACATATATGTTAAGTTGAAGGCAGTCTTCTGAAGTAATGTTATTTTCTGCCCTTTCCCACATCTCTGGTAAAGAGTGACTATCTTGTATACATGAAGGTCCGAAAACAGTGCCGTCTAAAGTTTCCTTCCATGGTTCAATGGGAACAGTCTTCTCAAATCGAAGGTTGCCCAAGGGAGGTTTAGCATAAGGAATATTCCGGAACTGAACTATATCCTGTCCGAGAGTAGGAACAACAATGCCTTTGATTGGACCGGAAGGAGTGTTGACTACCGGGAAAGACTGGGAGGTAGCCCCAGCTAGCAATGATGCAAGCCATACAATCTGGTATACAGCCATGGTCGTCACTATGTGTATTCTGCAGAAAAAAAAAGCGATTTCTGTTTCCGATTGACTGTATCAAATGCAGTTAAATCTAAGGTAGTAAATATCTTCCTATGCTTATCAAGTCTGTTGTTCTGGAGTTATTTGAGAAATCAATATTGTCTTGTTAACTTTTCACAGGTAAACAATATCACATTTTCGTGAAAAAAACCTTTGCAGGCTTACATGAATGAAAAGGGACAACAAATCAGCTTATACAATTGACAAACCCGGGGTACAAAACCAGAATCTTGGAGGTGTCATTTACAAGTAACACTACGTTCCATGATACAATTTCATTTCCATCGGCGTAAGCAAACAATGCATTTCAAATTACTTTATCAGATGTCTAACTCAATCCTCAGCCGGAGCTAGACAGTGGAGCAGTGGACATCGACAGCTAGGTTTCCGCCATATTTTCAGCCGCGGAGTAACTTGAAGTTTAACTCTCTCTGAACGCTTTACATCATTACGTCTGTTAGTGACGCGAATAAGTAACATTTTCTATGTGAATATGAAAATAAATTTCCATCGCACTGCGAAGTTATAATGAGTGAGTAGTGCCCGCGAAAAGCCTAGTCAGCTTCCTTGTTTTATAAGTATTCTAAATATGTCAGTAATTTAGCTACATGTATTTTGCTTGTGAAAGTGTAATAAATAGAATATTCAGTAGTGTCGTCAGTAGTTACAAATATCTTTCACTGGTGTGTTTAGTATTTTTAGTATATCTGACGTAAAAGATACTAAAATATTAAAATGTGAAATATATTTGTTATTACTGAAGACACGATTATGTATCCTCAATACCTAGTGTCAGCAGAATCAGGGACACTGCTATAAAACACACATACAGTACACACGTAATAAAATGCCGTCTACATAAAATACACGCATTTATTGCAAGCAGAAAGATATCAACATAAACAAGATAATGTCTGTGTCACTGTTGCATAAAGCGCTACATTCTAATGCGTCTGTATCGGTTGAGCTCCTTATGTTGAGTCACTAGGTGGCTGTGAACGTCATTAAACAATACCATAATATTCAAAGCCGTTTTTCTATACTGGTTTTTTTAATTGTAAAATGTATAAATCATATTGCTTACCTCTGTTGCCGTAGTACCCCACTCTTCTTTTATCTGGGTGTTGAACTATGGATATCTGCTTTTATCTACAGTTAACTAAATCACCACACGCGTATGTACACTGTAGCAAAGGTATGTTGTGTTAGGAGCGCTGCGTGATTTGATCAATCAGAGCAAATCTCACGCACACTTTAATCGAATAGCTTATTCATACTACTCGTATCGTACGATATGTTACTGCACATCAAAATATTTAATATAAAATTCCAAAATTGTATAGTTTTTGATAATACCTTTTAAAAGCGGTTTATAAGAAATTTAACCAGTTCGTTTCATTTGAAAACGTAAGCACATATAAAGCACGGGATCTAACTCAAAGACAACCTGTGCTAGAAATAGCAAGCGACATGTAAGACCTATGTATAGACAAACTGGCGTATCACGGTATATGAGTAACACTAATTGTTGTCTGGAGATGGTCGTATGTAGTATGCGTACACCTACATCGCTACCACGAGCAACCCCGACGGTTTTCGTAAAGGGAAGACGAATTATCTTTCCGACTACTCAATATGAAGTAATGATGATACCACATGTTGTAGGAAGAGGGGAAGACAGAAATGAGGTCAAAAGAAAGAAATGTCTGTGTTATCAACTAAGGAATAATTACAACCTTATAACTTGTATCACAGTGATAGAATGCTTTGTTTTAATTGCTTTTCTATCAAGTGTTCTAAAAATTGAAACAAAAATAAATTCTAACTATAATAGCACTCATGGCAGTATACAATGAAATGCCGTTATCGGAGGACATGTGATAATGAATTGGTGACATGTAACCATTTTTACATACATTGTCGAAGTGCTAAAGGGTTAACGCCGATCTGTTACATATAGAAAGATAAAGACGGCCGTAACAAATCAGAAATGGAACCCTTCGCACAACAAATTGATATCATTAAGAGGATATTTGTGTTATATTTCGTGTTTTGACAGATTCGTGAAACTTTTTAAACTAACATATTGGTTTCAATCATTTATTGATGATGACTGAATTACAAAATTGTATTGTTTGATGTGCATTGCGTATGTTATTCAGTTGATATTTCCTCCTGATAATGTTCAGAGTGCATATTTCCTTAGCAATCCTTCGCCGACTCAGCAAAATCAAGATAAACATCATTCATTTACTCGTTGGTTTGAAATGGCCCATGTGACGCAGTATATTGTTCTTGAAAGTTGTATCAAAACTAACAGAAAACGTGATAAATCTTCTAATGATTAAGACTGGTTCTCGCTCTCAATATATGTTTTCCCATAATGACTGAACAACAACACCAAAATATCAATAGAATCTTGATTCAAGCTCAATGAACTATGAACTAGATTTACAAGAAGGCTCCTGAAGTAATACACGTAGAATACAACAGATATTCCTGGGGGTAAAAGTCTCCTGCTTTATCGACGACATGTCGTATAAGCCATGGTCAATTAATGGAATTGATGTCACCAAATGAGATAAAGGTAAAACTGTTAAAAAGCCACAATGAAACCAACATGCATATTAACGATTATCAACCACATTTAACTTAATATCACACAAAGAAATAGAATGTGGTCTTTATGACGATCATAAAACTTCCCTATATTCATCATCAACCTGCATCTCTCGAAAGTCTGCGTTTAGAGTTTATCACATCTTGGCGGATTTGTTGCATGGTTGGTAAATATGATATAGACATAGTCAATATGTATTCAAAATTTCAAAAAATTCAAAATATATAACATAGCTCATTTTTTATTTATTCCATATTGACCAGAAACATGTGGGATTTCAACATAGAAACACTGTTTCTTAGTGTTGTTTTCAAATGCGAAAACGAAGTCAGTTATTATTTGTCTACTTACAGAAAACAATAAAGATCTTTTCAGAGTGATGATTACAGCGAGAGATAAATGCATAACTGTTTAAGAGCAAGTACAATGTGATCAAAGTTATGAGATAGGTCCTTACGTCATAAAAACAAGAGATCCAAGGGGAATCTTGACGCCCATGATTGTTTGGTCTTCATTTTTTTTTTTTTTTTTTTTTGAAACTTGTATATTTTCCCTTCTTTTATCTTCCTTCCTCTTATTTCTCTTATTCCTACATATAAAATATGAGAAAGATCCATCCAGTACTTCTCAGGAATGAGCGATTACAGACTTCTGTTGTCACAATCCAGAGCCCAGAATGCAAAATCCACATTTTGTAGAATCAACCAAGTAGGAAAGATACATGTACATATGTTTGAATTGATTTTCCTCTTCAAATATTGAAGCTTGCATCAGTACGGAAGCTATGTATTAATTTGTTATTGCCATCTTTATTAAAATGCGTATCTTAATTATAGCTCTATCACTCTTCGTAAAGGACCTAATAACATCCAATAAGGAGTCATGTTCTGGCGACCTTCGCACCATCTGTACTTAATAACAGATGAATGGCCCGAATGACATCTACAGCAAGTCATTTCGTCACAACATGTAGACCATTCTGATAAAAATTCATATATTTATTTTCGCTCAGGTAGCATTTTAATCACATTGACATAAAGATATGCTCTAGCTTCAGTCGACATGTTGTGATGAAATGATTTAATAAACAACTAGGATTATGCAAGCTATTTCGTCTACCTTCGTTCACTTTCAAAATTCGATAAACGGTAATGTGCTTGGCTAAGGCAAACTTTTAACAGAACATGACCTGTTATGAGATGTTGTTAGATCTTATTCGGATCTGCATTTTAATCAGACGGTTTGTTACCTGAAACATTGTAGAAAAATAGTCATTTCTTAACATATTAAAAAAAAATTAAGAATTAAGAAAATTCAAAATGAACGAATAATCCTTATTTGATCTATTTTATTCAAATTACTGTTTACCTTATTCTCAAACTATCTAGGTTTACTTGGGTCTAGTTAGGACATGCCAGACCCTATTGTCAATATTAGCCGTCACCGGTCCACTTAAACATGGTGACAGAGAACACCGAGAGACAAGTGTTTAACAGTGATCTAGATTATGACCCGATAAATGTATACATGCATGTACTATGAACTTATTTCATTTCATACTTTTAAAGGCCGTAGTATCAAAAACATCAATGTAAAACCTGATAGGAGAGTTACCGCTTCTAATATCAGGTTCACAGATTCACAAAATGTCCATGAATGGTTTGCTTACACATGAACATAGTGGTAAGCGAGTAAGTTGAATTACACAGTAAATGTATCGTCCATCTTTACATATCAAATCATACTTTTTTGTCACTTCACAAGTTATCCCAACATGCCATTATCAGTTGGTGATATGTTATTTTCTCATATTTAATGATAAAATGCATATTCCGTTAGTGGGTCATATAAATGCCACGGTAAATATCATAATCCATTAGATTGCTTGCTATGTGTTAAAATCGTTGTCAATAATACTTGAATTTTCATTCCAACGGTAAATGCTATGATCAGGCCTCAAAATACACACATATATTCAACCATTTTGTATAACCATATTATAACTATGATGATAAGAGAAATGATTTACATCGTAACAACAATTTAATGTCACTTTCGTATACTGTAAATACATGAAGTTTTTCCGTTGAATTCATTGTTACACTTAATCCACGAATTTATATGTCCATAAAATGTTAAATATATAAATTGCCATGAATTATAGTTCTTCTGAATTTCGGGAGCAAAATATATTTCCACAAAATCAAGCAAACCGTGCACTTTTTGCAAAACAACCGAATATGAGCCCAACGATGATAAATAATTTCGGGAGACGTAATATAACACATACACCACATGCTTATATCACGTTCATGACATCCATGTTTCCCTAAAT